CTCAGGTAGTGTAGATTCAAGTTTATTTGGATGATGACCCCCGGGGATAGGGCGGGACCACAATGGCTGATCAAAGTTTTACATAGAAATATATAGGAACATTCTTTAAAATCTTCTCAAGAATAGCAAAGGCATGATTGATCATATTTATATGGAAACATCCTCAGGTAGTGTAGATTCAGATGTGTTCAAATCATGACCCCCTGGGGGTATAGCGGGGCCACAATGGCCGATCAAATTTTCACATAGAAATATATAGGAACATTCTTTAAAAATCGTCTTCTCAAGCATAGCAAAGGCATGAATGATCATATTTATATGGAAACAGGTAGTGTAGATTCAGACTTGTTTAAATCATGACCCCCGGGGGAAGGGCGGGGCCAAAATGGCCAACCAAATTTTTGCATAGAAATATATAGGAACATTTTTTAACATTTCTTCTCAAGAATAGCAACGCCATGATTGGTCATGGGACTACTTTTGCATTTAAACTTTTCAATAATAAACCAATTTCTACTGTTTCTTAGCCACAGTGCTCAGGTGAGCGATGTGGCCCATGGGCCTCTTGTTGTTCAATGCACTTGTACATATATTAATAACTTATGCACTGTTGATGTTTAATGTTAATTAATATGACAGAACCAATCTCTATATTATGGATGAAATAAAGAGTGTCTGTCTGTCTAGCTGTCTGTCCTTCTGACTTTAAAATCCAATGCAGATCATTTCTATAAAAGGAAATACTAGTACTTATTCAAGATTCTAAAATAGATATTTCAGAGAATATGATACACACTCGTTTATATATTTCAATGTAATTCTTGACAAATCTGATACAGAGATCCGATTCGTAATTCATAGTGTTTCCCCAAATGACCGATGTGGGAGAAAGGGGATTAAGAATCGCATTCTAATTCAAAACATAATATTAGAATAAGGTCTTTTTTCATTATACTGATGTTTCCTATCTTTCTTCTTTTTTGCAAAATGTTGCATATGACTTTTCTAAAGGAAATATCAATGTATTTTTTAACTTATTCAATAAGATTAACATAGTAAATTTTTTAAGATATTAATTATTATAGAATAGATTTTGGTAGGTTTGTATAGGTTGGTTCTCGTGTTGGAGTTCTTGATATACATTGGCTTCCTGTGTCTCTTGTCTTGTTGTTCTTTGTTCACTTAATTCACTGTTCTCATAATTACTTTTAGGGGGCGTCTTCCTGAAATATAAAAGGAAATCATTCATATATTGAATCAATTTCAACCTTTTAATAATTTTATAACTTCCGCTTTTCTAGCGCAAACGTTCCTTTTCGTGTTACCACATACTCTCCCAACCTGCAAATGGTGTTTTCGCATTCGAGTTGATTCGAAACTATTGAGGCATAAGGTAGATAAATAAGCATACCATGAGATTTATTCAAATAAATAGTTCGCAAATTCTTTGTCAATACAGTGAGTCTGTCAGCAAGGCGAATGCTGATTGAAGCTCTTCACATAGATTGAAAG